GCAGGATACCCTCTAGGTAATAGTTCTTGATTACTTTTTGATAAATAATTCGTTCTTATTGCTAAATAGGAGCACTATTTATCAATCTGTAATAAAAGACGCGAGGAAATTCTGTCTTTTATAATATAAAAAAGAAGTAAAAAAAATTATTAGTATACATTGTTTTGCTAAAATGCATAGTTACCGAATTATATGCGATTGTTTCTGAGCAAAATCGCGATTTTCTAATTTTTTTTCACTTTTTCGTTGTTATGCAAAAAGCACAACTTTTCAAGCTGGCGCACCTCGATATTTTCAATTGGTATACTATTCCCGAGCGATTCCAATAGTTATCTAAGTTACGTCACGTGAAAACCATATTTGAAAGATTTCGTCGTAATTCGCCTGGCCAAACAAGCTTACCCTTATTTTCAATACGGAATAAGATAAAATTATAAAAAATGAAAATTTACATAAAAAAAAAAAAACATTTTGGGCGGTTTTGTCAACAGCATTTTGAAACTGTTTTTAGACTATGTTTTAATAGTTTTAATAATTTTGTCGAAATTTCGGTAAAGTTTTTTGTCCTTTTCAACAATAAGAACGACTGAAATTAAGTAGAACATATTCCCTTACAGGGAAAACGAATAATTGTTCGAGTGGTTGCACTTTTAACATAAAATTTCAAATACAGTGAAAGCTCCGATACGCGGGCAGTCACGGTTCCACAAAAAATGTCCGGTTATGGGAGGTGTCCACCCTTATTTTCAGCTTTTTTATTGTCTATACATGTTTTATAACATTTTCCAACATAGAAACTTATTGTGTCGGTTTATTAACATATTCTAAAATACTAGTTTGGCCCGTTTTTTGAAATCTTTGTTGAATAATCCCATGCTGAAAATGGGTTTCAAGGTTTTTAAGATATTGAAACGCAATAAAGTCATCGCTTGAAAATATTTTTTCAAAGGGAAATTGCATTTAAGGCATCATCATCATACGATTTTATGAGTGAAGCATCGCGTACAATTGCCAACGTTTCTTCTGATTCGTCATCATCACTACTCATAGAAAGTTCAGTTTTGGAATGGTCCATGTTTATAAATCCTTGTGCTTGTATCACTTGATCACTTGTACCTAAGGATTTTGCATGACGCATTGTTCCAGCTAATAATGACAAAGGCAGCTCATCTTCTGGATTAGAATCTTGTGGAATTTCTCCTTCTGTCTTCTTGAATCCAGCTTTTGTAAAGCAATTCTTGACTGTTGCAGAATTTACTTATTTCATGCCGTCTTTATGAAATATAAAGCCTCTAATGGGCTTTGACACCTAAGACACAGACTTGGAAGAGTTAATTTAAATTAACACATGTTTTAGAATAAGATCTCTATAAAAAATAAAAAATTTGAAGTTTTTAATGATGCCTTGGTTCAGTGCTGACATATGGAAGTGGTGTTTGGGGGCAAAAATATAACTTTGATATTTTTCAGTTTCACCACACGTGGGTGGGGTGATTCTGCGTTATCTAGAAATAAGAACACTTCTTTTCTGAATCCCCATTTTTCTATTGAACTGAAACAATCATTATGACATAATATCTTGAGTCATCCACGCTTTCTTCTTTTATTGTCCAAATTGTTGGCAAATCTTGGATGGCAATATTTTTCAAAGCACGAGGTCGAGCTGATTTTTCTATGACTTATAAATCCTCCTTTTCACCTCTATTACTATCCTCGACGAATAAAGTAAGTCAAGTCAAAACATCTTAAACGGGGAATTACGGAATATGTCAAATAATTCCCCGATTGAAAATCGCTTATTTATAATAATGGTTTTATTCGTCATCCGCGTTTTACAGGTTCGTGTCGGCTTGTAAGAGCCTTTCTACTCCGTATGATCATAATATCATGCCCGCGTCCGTTTAATAGAATGTCCGCTTATAAGAAAGTGTTTTACATTGAAAACCATATGACGAAATTCGGTTCAAAGAAAAATGTCCGGTTAAGAGAGATATCCGCTTATTAGAGCTGTCCGCAAGTAGAGCTTTCACTATATATCAAAAAATGGTTAAACTTATTAAAAATATAAAAAAGTGGTATTGGATATTAGAATTGAAATATATTTAAAATTTGGAGTATAATTAATAGAGGGTATCCTGCGACACACTTAGGCTGTAACAGAAAATTCCAATAAGTAAAGAAATAAATTTGAAAAATTACCTTGACGTTTTGATAGCTATTTTCTGCTATCGTTATCAAAAGAACCTAAATTAAACCTAAAAAAGAATATGTTAGTAAATTGTGTAACAATAATAGGATAATACAGTATGTAAAAATTCGCTGTGATAATTCGTCTGTGCAAATTGACAGTTATGTGAGACTTTGACTTAATCTCGTTGTTTAAACTAATAAAGGTAATGTTAATTAATAATTTAAGTGTATGATTCTCTGGTCTACTTTAGATTTTAGCATAGGTAACCATGAACATGAAGCAGCAGAATTATTTAGATTTAGTAAAATTAGTGCGCTTTCTTTAATTTTACGTTTTTTTTGTAGATGGTTGTTTGTTAAAATTATTCCATTGAATTTTGTGGCAATTATCAAATGCATGTTGACAAATATGCGACCTATTATATTCTCTGTTTTTTATGTATCATTGGTGTTCTTTGATTCTTTTGTGTAATGGTCTTAAAGTTTCTTCTATATAAAATTTATTGCATTCGCAAGGAATTTTATAAATTAATTTTTTTTATGAGGTTTTGTTACAGAAATTTTGCTTCTAATTGTATTTTTACTTTTGAAGATAGGCCTAATATTACATTTTTTACCTACTCGTTTAATTTGATTGGAAAGTCCGGGAATAAATGGAATAAACAAGTTTGTAATAGGTTTATTTTGATTTTATTTTGTTTGTGGGAATTCAATTTCGTTATCAAAAGTTAAAAGTTGTCAACTTTCTTCAGCCTTATTTATTAAGCATCGGTTTATAAACATCTCTATGGACTGATGCGCAACAAACTTTTAAGATACGCCTTAATCGATAAGCGTTATTCCTTATTCTCTTGTATAAACCCACCATAACTCGGGCAGAGCTTCAGCTTTCGAAATAAATTTTAATTATTTGTAAACTTTGGCGAATGGACAATTTCACTATAATGAAAACTGTAAAAGGAAAGTTAAAAACAAGTTTAAACCCACACTGATACTTCCTATACCAAACTTACTTCAAACTTCTGACAGGATAAAAGAATGACATAAGACTAGTAGGTTTCCGTTTGAAAATCCATTGTTTGACCTAGTATCTTGTTTATGAAACGACACGATATGTATAATACAAGGATACAGGGTATTTCCCTGGGTTCAGGGTTTTTGTATAATGTGATGATCGTCAGCAAGATGTTCCCTTAAAAATGAAAGTAGAAGTATTCAAGCGTTTTCTTCTAAATTTACCAGGAGAGTTATAAATAAGGTTATCTTCTGTATATATAGAGGGAGATGTTTAAATAAGTGGTATGCTATTAAACAAGAAATATGCGTCTTTGAGTTTAAGAAAATCATTTAAAAAATTTCAATGAAAATCAAATGACCGTTTTGAAAGACCGCTAATGACATGCATAGATCGTACTTGATATTCGCTCAGCCCTTGGTTCTGGCAATATTTATAGTATTTACAGTCAGACAAGGTGCGAATAAGCGACATAACATTGATTACCTCTTTGATTTACTTTATTCACATATAATTTTCTTTAACGATTTTCGTAATTGTTTCAGGTGGCGACCGTGCCTTGACCGCAAATGTAGTCATTCCCATCGCAGATATGTGACTTTGATATAAAAGAAACCACCTTGGGAATATTCGCCTTCTTAAGTATTTTGAACGTGAGATACGTAAGATATTGATCTTAAGGTCTTGCTAAGATGATATAAGATACCATATGACTAATAAAATATATTTTCTGGTGTTTATTTTATTACCTATGGAGAGATTGTTATGTCTCACCACAGTAGGAGCACATTAATCGTTGGAGACATTTCTATATTGGTGGGGATGTGGAGGTGTCTTGTGTGTCTATAATGTAGATAGGGACGGTACCTCAGTATGTACACTTCGCTATTTGTTAACCTTTCTAGAATTCCTGTACCTATAAGATTCCTCTGTAATATTTTCTGTTTTTCGGGAAGATAATTTTTTTCTTATTCGGTGAACTGAGTAGCCGAAGTGTTGTAGTTTTTTACATCATTTGAAGTAACAATCCTATATGCAGATAATATCAGAAACTGTAGCTTTTGGTAACACGAGAATAACAGTCTCACTACATCTTTGCTTTAATTGCTGCATAATTTCATATTTTTTCAATAGATTTTCCACCAGACTTAGTAGTACCACAAAAATCTGTGTTTGGGTTTTTTTAGATAGGCAAATCTAAATTTCCTATTATCTAGCTTGTAATTCATAGAGGGCGCTAGCTGCAACAGTCTGGAACAAGTTAAAACCTTAGAATTTTTTTGGGTTTTAATATATCGCTTTTTGTTAACAATATCGGGTTCGCCAGTTGTTCTATTTCGATTAAGTGTACTTGATTCAAGTCAATATCTGTCATCGTTTTCGAGATATTTCACATTGAAACATCTAGTGATTTTTTGAACTAATCGGATCTCTAAATAAAAGAAATGTTATTCGCAACTTGTCTATTAAACAAAACTTAACCAACATTAGACAGTATTTATTTGGGCACGTTTAGAACTACTTTTTGAACCCAGAGAAACCTGTGAAAATTAGTATTTTACAGTAATTGTTCGAAATGATATCATCTGACTTACCATTTATTATATATAGTATGTGTGCCGGTGATGGACCCTCTAAGGTAATTTTCGTATAACTAAACAACAATCCTAATAAAGTGAGCTGGATATATTTGATTCTTAGCGTTTAATACAGTTGCCTGGGTTATCATAATTTTTAGAAAAAACGAAACATTTTTGTTATTGTTTTTGAAACACCAAGTGGTCCATCATAGGCGCATATAGTCCTATAATGGACCCAGTGATCGCCATTACTAGATCTGTAATAAACGCAAAAGAAAAATCATTCATTGCCTTTCCAGATATTTTTACATTTTTGACAATTAATCCACATTTCTCGCGGTCTTGAATGGGAGACAAGTTCGTTGCAATATATGCAAGCTACGCTTTCTGATTCATCGTCTTCAAAGGTCTCGAAATTCTCTTCTGCGTCAGCATCAATGATATTCAATACTTGTTTCTTGACTTTCCTACCTTCTTGTTTTCTTATTTTTATTGCTTTTTCCGTTACTTTTTGTTTAAGTTCTTCAATTTCAGGTGTAGAATTTAAATACCCGGTTTTGCCACGTTTCCTACATTTTTTCTGACTTGTTGCAATTGCATACTCTACAGGTGGAGGATAAATATCTCTAACAGACACGCTGTGATCTATGCCTGACGGTCCAGGTGTAGAATTCTTTTCGGATGACTCTTGAGATACCCAGTCAAAGGAATATTCTGGTTGATGCGTGGTCTCTATTTGTTGTGATTCAAAAGTTTCCCTATTTTCTTGCTCAATCGGCCTGTCTGTTATTAACGATGGTGCAAACTCCCAATCTTAGAACACATTTGGGTTGAAAGGGTAAATTCCTGTTTTTCTAAATGAGTTGATTGCATTTAAAGGTATTGGAATTTTTAAATAAGCTTTGTTGAACATATTTGCAATTTTATACTGTGTCAACGCTTGGCCTAGATTTTTCGTAACTATAATTGGATTTCCTGATCGTAATATGTATGAACTGTCCTAAAAAATCCGACATCTAACGGTTGAACATGGTGTGAACAATGAGCTGGAAAACAGAATATGAAGATGCCGTTCTCCTTTGCAAATTCTAGTGCTTCAAGATCTTTGTAGCTGACATGACCGTCCAGAAGTAGCATAACTAGATTAGTTTTTGACGCCTTTGCATACCGTACAAAGTGTTGAAGCCATTTTCCAAAGATGTCCGTATTAATTCACCCCCTTTCCTGTGCGAACCCAATACTTCCAATGAGAGAATCATTCATTAATTGATCCGTCATCCTTTGTCGCGGGAAAATAAGAGCCGGTGGCACATAAGTTCCTATTGCATTCATAGCGCATACTATTGTAACGTGCTGGCCACGTTCAGCGCTGCTGAGCGCACCTACTTGTTTTCTACCCTTGGCCGCATAAACTTTTTGGGATTTTTTCTGAACTGTAGTTAGACCTGACTCGTTCATTGTATAAATGTTCTCCGGGGAAAAATTGAATTTGTCCCAAATTTTAGAAAACGCCAAAAAATTAGAAGCTATGTTAGGTTTGTTGAAAGCTTGAGCTCTGCCCAGCGAAGTGTTTTCAGGTGTTCGTAGAGATATACGTGGGTTGCGACTCAGAAAACCTCTAATCCATTTCTATCCGACAGTTCTCGTTTCACGATTAAATGAATGCGTCAGTCCATTTCTCTCAGCTAGTTGAAATACCAATCATCGCAAGTCTGCTGATAAATCCAAAAAATCGTGCTTCCATGTCTATAATGTAGTCACAAATTTCATCTTCTACGTGTTTAGGAAATGTCGTTCTTCGGCCACCTAAGTCTCTTTGGGAACTGCCTCCCTGTTGTGAAAATCGTCTCATTAAAGTTGTTTTAGGAACATTAAATGTATTTGCAGCTAATTTAAACCCCATTTTTTTCGTTTAAAATATTTAGAGCTTGCTGCATGTCAGTCTCTGCTCACTGCTGTCTTTTTTGCGTAGTCATAGCTATCTGTAAGCAATTTAACAAGTAAGAAACAAATTTAGAACAAACTTAGACAGTGAACAATGCAATAATATGTTATCCTATGATGGACCCCTGGTCCAACAATGGAAAACGTCAGGTGGTCCATTATTGGCGAACCTGCATAGGTTTACTTTTTCAATTGTCAATTTTGTTTCGTTTATTATAATCTAAATTTAAATATAGCAGACGTTGAGAAACATCAATGGGCACGTTCCATATTCAAAGGAACCGTTAAATAACTATATTTTAAGAAAAAACCGTTATAAGCTGAGGGTATTTTCTTACATCAAGACTAACCAGTTTAATTTTAGTCACTCTACTACTCTCAGTTACTGTTACTATTAGTTCGCTCATTGGCATGTCATGGCGCTAGTGCGTTAGGTGCGCTAACTATAAAAATATCGATGATGGTCCATCATAGGTACATTTTTCCTATTAATACATTTTCTAACCCTTCTAGTAAATGATTGTCGTATTGAAAACAAAAACGTTTTTGCCTCTGAAGACTTCTGTAGCATTTAAAATTTTCTGCCACAATTTTTCCCTGTTAATGGGATTGTCATAAACTAGGAATCCATTGGGTTAAAATCAGGACTTCTGGCAGGCCACGGTATTGGGCCTCCGCGTCCTATCCTGTGATTTGGAAATTGTTCATCAATATAGTTCCGAACTTGAACACCAAAATGAGCGGGGACGCAATCTTGCGTGAAGCAAAAATTTTCATGAACCGATAAGGGTATGTCATTTAGGTAATTTTCCAATTCGTTCTGAAGAAAATCTAAGTATAACTGACTAGTCAAATTTCCACGAAATTTATGTGGACCTATTAGATAATTTCCTATGATTCCGCACATTAATTTTGAATTCATGCTGGAAATGGTGATGTGGAACGGCATGTGCAAACAACATTTTTTTAAAATTTCAGGATTACGTGTTTAAGGGCGTTCGTTTCTACTTAGAACAAGTAAACTGATGAAGGAATATGTTGGCAGTAATTTAAACAACGGAAAT